TATCTCGTTAGGCGTGTAACAAATTCGTCTATCCGTGAGAAAGTGCACATTCACTTATTGAAGTAGGCATAGAAGAATTAAATGGAAGTTGGTAAAGAAGCAGAGGTGGATGGAGAAATACGAAAGGGAAGGCAAAAAGAATTTGGGGATGTGAGGGAAGGGCGAAGAGGAGGTTTACCAATTAACTGACAACAGCGTTTTGTGCATGTTGAATTCGAATTTGTTTTACTGTTGTACACAATTTTGGGGATTTGTGAGTGCATTAAGATTTGAAAGTAAATTAGAATTTTCGTGGTGCATTAATTGAGCCTGATATGTGCATTTGTCAAGCCAGGAAGACATCAAATAGAGGCGTTGTAAACTTAATTATGAAATCACAATGTGAAAAGTAACAAGTAGAATCAAGGGCAAAAATCCTCAGAAACTCAGTTTGTATATGTATCTCTTTTGTTGAAGATATATATCCATGCTATCTAACGAAATGAAAACTCCATGGCTATGCAATTATATCATATCCCTAGAATAAAATTCATTTTCCTTCTTTCTTCGTCAGTAAACATTAATTCTCCTTGGCTGCCGGCATAAGATCATGTTTAGGTATTACTTCGGATCCCCCTGCTCTTGCTCCATCTAGTCCTATGCCCATCCCAGCTAGATCTTTAGCAAGAACCGGGAGGGTAGAATCTCCACTGCCCACTCCAGCTCGTCCCAGTTCTTTATCTACTGCTTCGATTGGTTCGGGACTCGCGACCAGAGGTTCTTTTCCTAGAAATTTTGCAATTTCTTTTTTATCGGTTCCTTTTTCCTTAGGACTGGTACTTTGACTTCGATATGCATTTGAACCTTTCCCAACAATCTTCTCTGTCCAGTTCCACCCAGAAGCCGCCGGTTTGTTCTCGTCCTCTTCACTATCGTCTGCACTATCAACCCAATCTCTATCAGTCCACCCGGCACTCTCATATCCATCTTGTTTATTCCTTGACCAACTTGCACTTCTTGAAGGTGCGGGGGGTGGTCCCATTGATGAAGTAGACGTTGCAAGTGCTGGAACGGAATCTCTCGCTTCTCTCGCTTCCGAATTTGTGCGATCATGTCTTGTGATTCTGTCACGTTCCTCAAGTTTCTTCTCGGCATTTATTGTATCTATTGAAGATTCGACTTCTTGTCCTTCTGAGCCTGGAGCCTCCCCTGCACCTTTAGCTCTTTCTCGTCCTCCACTGTCTTCATCTTTTCTTCTTGCAATTGCATCATCTGAGAAATGGGTATCGCAAAGATGTTTGATCACTGGCCACCCATATGCATTGGCGAACATTCTTCTCACAATCATGTTATTATGAGCATCAGGTTCTAAGCTGACGAGAACCTTGCGCCAACTTAGATCCCGATGATAAGCTCTAGCAATCTTCTCTTCGACTTTCATTGCTGAAGAGTCGACAACAGTATTTGGAGGACGAGAGGGATTAGTGTTCTTGGGATCATCATAATCTAAAGCTGAAAGTTGGCTATCGGTATGAGAAGCAGGTGTTGGTGGAGTAGGTTCAGAAACGGAAGAATTTCGTCTTCGCAGCATCGTGGATCTCTTTTTGAGGGGTGGTGGAGGAATGTCCGAAGGATGATATACACGATCATGGAAAATTGTTCGAGCACGGGAGGCTGGATCAATCAAAAATTCTGTAGATGGTAGAGGTGGCTTGAGAAGATCACCTGCTGATTCAAAAAAGGTTGTTTTGGGAGGTGCTGATAGATGATCTGGATCTTGGATTTCGGTGTCTCCCGTCGAAGCTTTTGAGTGGCCCTCTGGAGCTGGAGATGGTAGAGATGACGGTGTCGACGAACCGCTATCGTTGGTAAGTTTGATAGTTTGGCTTCTTTTATATATTTTCGAATGTTTAGGTTGATGAGCATGGGATTTCGGGGAAGGGTTAGAGCGAAAAAATCCAAAAAGACTGGCAAGTGGTCCATTATTGTTGGATGTAAAAGATGTAGATGTTGGACTTCCCATCTCGTTGCTATTCCTACCTTCTATAGAAGATATAGTTGAATGGCCAGGCATCTCGGCATTTTTAACACTTCGCTTATCGTCATCCATGACGTTTTCTGGGGGTTGTGGTACTTCTGTCTCCAGTCTTTGTAATGCGTTGGGAGAAGCAGTTCCTCCAATATCATCCATGTCACTGACTTCCTCCTCTGACCAAGGTGCTTGTTTCTTTGCCGGTGACCCAGAATTTGCCCCAGTTAGTTCAGCCCAACTCCATTCCGCCATGGTACCAACAAGACCATTTTCCCTTCTAGCTTTCTCCACACGACCCAGGCTTTGCCAATCGAGGAAAAGTAAACAACTAGTTCGTAGGGGCACGATTCCATCATTAACAACGTTTGAGTAGACTGTGCGATGTCGAAATTTCTTAAGAACAGTATGTGCGGGTCCAGTTGGTAAAATCCGTAAAAGTGGCTTTGCTTCTGGCGCAGATTCGCCATCAAGTCTCTTATGAGCACTTTCTCCAATATTCCCAACGAGCGCACCCCAACCGCTTCTTGCGATGGTTGGTGCTCGCCATGTCAGTCCAAGATCCTGACCTGTGCGACCGACCAATCCAAAATCCAATGCAAATTTGACATACAACGGGTTCTCATTGCTGAGACCTAAGAATGGTGAAGCAAGTGCAATGAAGTTTATTGGCTTGATTATGTCGAAGAACTGAGGTGAATGTTTTTGAATGTATGCCACGGCATATGTTTGTACCAGTCCACCAAGAGAATGAGCAATGAAACTAATACTGGTGAAATGATAAGGAAGGTCAACATCTTGTGGCGCTTTGATGATGCTGCTATTCTCATGTGCTGGTTTCCCAGAATCATCCGTCAACTTAGAAGAATCAGGTTTAAGAGCATGAGAAAGGGCTTCAGTTGCTGATTTCTTGAGGGTAGGTCGAAATGGTTGATCTGGGTATGTCATCGTGAGAACATATTTGGCAAGCCTTTTTCCTAGGTATTTGATTCCTCTTTCTGTTCGGACGGCATTCCCGGAAAACCCTCGTACAATAACTTCTTCCTCGTCATCGGATTCATCGTCTGTTTCTTCCACCTGTTCCTCTGGGTGTCCTTCTGTACTCGCTTCTCCATTTGATATACCATCAACTTGTATATTTTGATTTTCGGCCTGTTCAGCTGCCTTTCTTTGCTTCTCCTCTTGTTTCTTTTTTGCTTTTCGGGCTTTTGCATCGATCTTGGCTTGCTTGGCTGTCGCGTCTATGCTCTCCTTCAAGAATAGCATATCGGCACCAAGATTGCTATGCAATCCGTGTGTCAAAACCACCAAATGTACATTTTTCGTTCGCTTCTTCCTCGGCTTTTCTTTGATGTGACCCTCTCCTGTGGCATCTTCAACTGGCGCATCCTTATTCTTGCCCTTCGACCTTTGTTCCTCCGCTGCCTCGTCCCTACTGTCCATCTTCGGGGTATTCCATAGACTTGCAGTATCATCAACCTTTACTCGCAGGGCCCTGGAATAAATACCCCTCGGTAGTGCCGCATGATGGCCATCTTTCGCTCCTTGACTCTGTTGGTGATCATGAAGTTGTCCAGGCACTGGTGCTGTGCCTCCTAACATCGATCCTGAAGCAAATCCCAACGATAGACTTTTTTCGTCTCGACCTAGCAGAATTTCGTAATTAACGCTGGCAGAATTGGAAAAGACAACCTGCGACGTGACTTCAATGATCCAGGTAACACTTTTCACATCCGAATCATCTCTGCCGGGCGATCTTCCATCTCGATTTGCGCTTCCGGCAGTTTTGCGCACATCTTCTGGAACAACAAGTTCCGTTGAGAATGAACCTCCGGCTTTTAGGTTTGGCTCAAATTCAGGTACACCATCCCGTCTAGGGTTTTCAAACTTGACGTTTGGATTGAAGGTAGAAGGATATGCTGCTGCGTAAAGAGTATAAGGACCGTGAACGAAGGCTGCTCGGAGTGCTATGGCAGAAGTATTCTTGATCTTCAAATGGAGTCTTGCCGGAGAGGGCAGAATTCTATCGTGTGCCGGCGTATATGTAACATTATACCGAACGATTTCTCCTATCTTCACGCTTCCAGCTTGGTATAAAAGTAACATTTTATTGGTATATGGTGGGTTGTCAGCGTGTCAAGGCACCACATTAGAAAGGGCAGGGTAGAATGGGAGAAGGGGAGAATGCAAAGAATGTAAATGAGAAGTGATGTTATTGTACTGCTGAACACATTTTGAGATGGATGAGATTAACAAGATAGGAGGATATTTTGTGAATATGAATATATCGATAAATACTCGTACAATAATAACAATAATAATAATGAGTAGGCATTAATAAGTTGATAATTAAAAAAAGGAGAAATGGTTCCCCTTCAACCAAAGAAATCTTGGTGCACGACCTCCCTCACCTCACATGCACATGTTCAATTGTTCAAATGATTTGGGACGATTGAGCTTATCGTTATCAAATTACTGGTACTGGTGGTATCGACTAACAATGACGATTTTGTGGCGCACTTATTACTGAAAGGAGCTGGAGTGAATGGAGATTTTTATTAATTAATGCCATAAATCCATAAATCCATAATCCATAAATATTGGGCGATGTTAAAATTGCATATTGACGTTGACGTTGAATCTTTCTAATAAATTGAACAAAAATCAACAATATGTACCTAAGTAGGTATGTTATTATGTTATATTTCTTGTTCTCAAATTTATGATTAATATAGATACACACGTGTTGAAGTCATTGATTTCAACATCAACTGTTCACTAGGTAGGTAGGTACTTATATATATATATATAAATATCTACTGACAGATATCTCGTCGGAATGACCAGTGTCTTTATCACAATGCCAACGGGATCAAATAACGAACACGACCGCCATCATTCGACGGCGACAGAAGGCTAATGGCATTTTCCATGCCTTCTCAATCGTACCGGCATTCATTCTTGACTTCGAGATTCCTCTATGATCTCAACGATGTTCCCAAGGTCAACTCGCAAGGCAAACAATGTGTTTGAGATCAGTCTGGCCAGTGTACCACAGTCAAAGAACTCCGGGCGAGGAGGTACCACGGCGTTCGAATTGCTCGTCCTGAAAACCGATCAATGGCTGACCAGTTTTCAAGACAAAATCCAGATCGAAGAAACTAAACACTTTTAATTTGCTCCGCTGCTTATTCGAAACATTCTTCAATATGTCTGGTGTTTCCAAATAGGTGATGATCTGAGCCCCTCCTTGAGGTCACTTCTCCATCACTGATCCCCAAAATCATCCTCGTCGTTTCTTTGATCAAATATATCTTCGCGAGTTAATCTGTCCCAGTGGACGAGGTTCCAATTTTGAAGCTATTTGCAAAATTTATCTTTGGGGTTTGGGAGTTTTTAATTTCGTTTGTCCACCAGGTCCGTACATTCTTAAGCACGGCAATTGGGTTTTGTGATATAGTAAGCAGATGCATACCCATGATTCAGCATCTATGCGTCCAAAAGCTTTAGGTTTAATTGTTTATCTTGTATCAAGTGGTTAACCTTTTTTCCTAATTGCAATGCTAGGCTTCCTAATAAAGAGCCGTTGTCTCTGACCGTGGCGCTTCACCCCCCTGGAATCCTTTAAGCTTCCACAATATGATGGTGTTGCTGAGGAAGAACTCGATCACCTCTCACATCTCTAGGTTCATAATCCAAAACCTCAAATGCAAACTTCGCCAGATCCATCCCAACCCTACTCATTACCCAGCTAGCCATCATATCCATCCCAGCACAAGCACCGCCAGCCGTCCAAATATTACCATCAATAATCCATTGAGCATCAATTGTCCAATTTACATTTGGAAGATACTTCTTAGCGTGTTCAATGACAGTATGATTTACCGTTGCTTTCTTTCCATCCAATATTCCCGTCTGAGCAACGGTTACGGCACCAGTACATGTAGTGAAAAGGCCCTTGCCTGCTTCAACATGGGCACGGATGAAGATTTTGAAAGATTCAGGGAGTTGGTAGGTTGGTATTGGACCACCTACGAGGAGGTAATCGAGTGGTGGACAATCTTTGATGGTGGTTGTCGGTACCACTTTGAATCCAGCAGTGAGCTCAACTGGTTCCTATTTCTGATCTTAGATTATGCTCTGGATTTATAAAATTGGAAATCTTACCAATGTTTCATTGATATGAAAGAAATTTATATCAATCGCGTGAGGTAGCAAGCGATCAATTTCCGGAGAATCGGGAGATTGGCAAGCTTCCATCATTGATTTGGACTACGTATAATATTAATTTCTAAACCAACAATCTAGAACTATTTCAAATTCTTTTGACTTACACATGAGCTCAGAACATCCAGAGGCATAGCAGCGTCGATTGTTTGATAGGGTATCATGAGAACGCCAAAATTGATTGGAGCCATGATGAAGATAATTCCGCAGGCGGAAGATTCTTATTCAAGAAGTGAAAAAAAGTTTTGGTGCTGAAGCAATGCTGGAAAGAAATCGATTGGAATGTTTGTTCTTTTGAATAATGCAATTGAGAGGATTGAACTCGAATTAAGTAGTGAGTTGCAATGTTGTAAGCCGGATATCCCTCAGCAGCTTTCGGATGTACGATAGGATATAGCCACGGTAGTCAACGAATTTTCGGCGCGCACAATTCGTTGCATTTCAGAATGTGGGTTTCTTGCGTTCTCCGCGGAAGTAGAGTTCTCTCATTGCTCAACGGGTTTCGGAGAGATATCCGTGGTTACTCTGTTGATCAGGTTCTCTGATTCTTATTCGAACGTCTTCTATATCCTTTCAGATGCTTGGCTAGTAAGATGTAGGAACCCATGATCATCTGATGAGAGCATTTAGCATATCTGATGAATATGAACGCATGAGTTGGTGTGTGCATTTCATAAGTTTTCCGGTCAGCTGTGCTGTCTTTCTGTCTACTATCAGGGTATGATTTTTCCTTCCGCTCACTCATCACAATCTTATCACAATGTCCTCTGTAAATAGGAGATGCCTGAAGCCGCTTGATACTTTGGGGATATTGCTGAGATTTAGATATGTCGAGAGGTTTTTTGCGGTACATCCAAAATCTTAGGATACGAGTAGAGATCGTCAGGTCAGCCCCTGAACACAGGATGTGTTTTTAGATCCATGAATTGTACCCCGCCTATTGTGCGGCTCAAAGAATCAGTTTCAATAAAATATCGTTTCTTTGCTAGGAGATAAAAATCGAGAGCTTAAAACCTTACAGCCAGGGACTCTAAGTACTCTATGTAACACATAGTCATCCTCCTTAGGCTCCTAGGTTAAGTTTGTCTTTTGCGCATCAACCACCCAAATTCAATCAAATTATTCGTAACTGACAACCTTAACCAGACTATGAGGTATTTCCCTGCTGAACATGACAACTTCCTTCATGCACATCGTGACACTGCCATGCGTATTCAACCTGGCGGTCATGAGAAAGCGCCGTAAGCGCCGTTGCTACCGTATTGTAGTCTCCTTTTTTCAAGTAAAACAAAACATAGGTATCCCCTGGTGCACCATAAGATGGTACACACGTCCAAGTTTTGGCATAAATCGTGCCTCCTGTAGATGAAGTTTTGTTCGTTAGATATTTGCAAAACATAAAAGGGCAAACAGATTGAAAGGATAAATGATGAAAGAAAGGAATAATTACCATTTTCTGCAATTTTCTTCACTAAACCTGGTGCGCAATCGTCTTGGGTAAGAGTTTCAACCACGTTTGGTGTAGGGTCGTTGTTACCCCACTAGCAATGAGGTTAATCAAACAAATCTCGTCAGGGAATAATACAACTCACTCCGGCCAAGTTAATTGCAAAAGGAGTTTCACCATCTTGGTCAGTGTATTGACAGCAGTTTTCATATGCAACAACTTCACTTTCCCACGTTAGATATCCTTTTGTGCCACGTCCATTCAGCGTTGCGGCTGGGGTGAAAGTATTCACAATCTGAGGGTTGGCAAGAGGACCTATATCGATTGCGGGGAGGGCATAGACCGTGCTAGAAAAGAAAGTGATAGACAACGAGACAAGAACAGTCATATATATGAGGGAGAAGGGTCTGGCTGTATAACACATGACAACGAGAGAAAAGGGATCGTGACTGTGGTCTGACAAAAAAACTTCAGTGCGTATATGTATTTTATTTGCGAAAATAGACAAGGGACAGAATTTGGAGAACGGTTGTTGTGACTTGATGATATGATTTAATTGATAAAGAGAGTGATGATGTACGAATTGGCTTTAGCTCATCAAAGCTTCCTAGAGCTCAGGTTTTATCGTTCTAATTGTTTTCTGCCTACGATGACAGAGACTTAGGCGACCTACCTGCTCGGTAGGAGGAGCACTTCGGAATAGACTTTGTGAGGCCATCCAGCCAACTCTTCTTTCGGCCGCCCCTAAGTTTTGTTGCTACCACTCATTGCAGAGTACCTAACCCATATCGGTACACATTGCAGAACGGCAAAGGGACCTAGAATTCTGAAGGCTGCTTTCATCGAACGTATGCTAGCGATGGACGTGTCGAGAAGAACCCCGAAAACATATCTCAGAGATGAAGAACTTGCTTCAAATCCCGATCATTTCTTCCGGCTGTAGTGGAGAGTTGAAGCGAGACTTCATAAAAACAGCAATCTATCAGGACAGAAAGATACCGTGCTAAGGTGAAGAATTGCGCATGAATGAGACCCATACAGTGACCACCAAACATCTTTCGAATTGGCAGCAAGTATTTTAGAAATGTTTCTGCCTGGAACAATCGCACCTACCATCAACTCCTGGCGTTTACAGACGCAATCGCGCACAATCTTCAGGAGCTATAGCTATAGATTGTTGGATTCGAATACTGTCAACCTAGGGAAATTATGACCAATTTTTTGTGAGATAGTACTTTTACTTGAAGTCCTCATCAAAATTCGAAGGATATATCTTTGTAAGCGCGAATGCTTCGCCGCTTGTTGTAACCAATCTTTCTATGATGGATTAGGTCCCAACGGTTAACATAAAGTGCAAAGTCATGTTAAGCTTCCCTTTGCAGATGGTTAACCTTGAGGCGCGAAAACTGTCCAGGCCAGAAACTTAATCCTTCGGTCCTCACTGATGCTTCAGGAAAGTAGAGGCTTTGAACTGCCCATATCTTGGCTAAAATCAAAGTTGTCTGGATAACTCATCCCTTTCCCCTGTTTTACGTGAGTTTTCTTCTGCGCTCAGGACAAACTTGCATAATTTGTACCCCATGATGTTGGAATTATTTTGGTATGATTTCAATAACTCATGATTGGATTTGCTCACGAAAGTGTTGACTCTTATGATGGTTGATGTTTACGCGTGTGTTTAAGAGAGCCCAGACCTTAAGGTTTAATCACTACAAATCTCGTGATACACTAGGTTAAAAATGGCCCAACCCGTGCTTATCATATATCATTATTTTTCCTTCACAAAATTGTTATTTTACGAGAAAATCAATGCTCAAAACATCGAGTCCTTGCTTTGCACCATTTAGTGCCAGTCATCATCTGTTCCTGCTGCTGTCTAGGACTGAACATTAGTGTACTCCAAGCCACTTGCTCCGTCGACGCGGAGTCTGTCTGTTGGCATAGTTATCTGTGCTCTACGACGTATCTACCAATGGATAGTTCCATTGTTGGACTAAGACTTCGACCTATTAAGTACGATTTTACAACATAGCATGCCATGAGCACTGGAATCCTTCAAGTCAAAACTCGGACTGTCCTCAGGAGGGGCAAAATGAGATTCCATGTTGTAATCGAGTTGCTGGTGGTGCAAATTCTCCAGAGTTGAAGTCTTTCAGCTGGATGAAAGTTGAGAACCCAGATTGTTAACATGACGTTAATTTTTAAGTGAGCTTCTAGCCACTGCGCCTTTCTGGTGCATTTATCTCACTGTATTGTCTCAATCAAATGAAACAGATGGAGGAAAATATCAACAAACAGTTGCTGGTAGTGTGGTATTACAAGCTCAAGGTCAACATAGCCTCGAGAAATGAAAAAGATCTCTCACCTTGATTACGTCTAGATCATTTCACAGATCAGCAAACTCATGTCTGCTACATTTTTGGCGTATCTCACGCCATATCTATACCTCTTTAGTTCAAGTCTGAATGGCACAATAACAACATGCTTTTTATATCGACTCTGTCAGCGACAGTTCTCGATCCTCAACCACTGCCATCATTTTGATACCGTTTTCATAGGGCAACGGCTGGCTAGATTTTTGGTTTGGCGATATTTGATCGAAGTTAGTAATGGTTTTAGATGGTATTGCAATATGTCCTTTCGTGTCTGGACGCATTTTCCCCTTTCGTGGTTTCGGATTTTCGGGGCTTTTCAATGGTTTGCATGTACTGAGAGGAAACCCAAGTCACCTGTTATATGTGTCTTAAGGGCACCTTCTGATCGCTCTTTACGTCTCTGTCTTTCATTCATACTTTGATGTTCCTCAATGGCTTTCTCTTCAATCAGACAACTGCATGCCCCAACCGGTTGAGTCTATATTTAGAAAGTAGCATTCACAAGCAACTCATCGGCAAAACTGCGAATTTGGAATTGACCTTAAAGCAAAACAAAAAATACACTTTAAGTGATCATAGTTACGTGCTGAAGAAATCTTTATGCTCCCCTTTAAGAAATTGGTTCCATCCACCATGCAAAGTTCAACTGTTATAAATGTCCATGTTGCGGCACAATGAAAGATTTAAAAATAACGTCGGCACTGCCACGAATGAGTGTTCTCAACTTCTTTTCTCTGGTTATACGGGTCTTGGTTCTAGATTTAAAACAACCTGGGACTATGTTTGAGGTATTTTTACGTGCATCGCATTCCGTGCATGTAAGTTGCGTACTGGTGGTTCAAATTGCGAAAAATGACATGTGTAGTGGCCTATTGAATCAGTCTCAAGTTCCAAACTATGACAATAGGCTGAGGTCAAATGGGATACTAACAATTAATCAATCTTTGTTTAGATCATTTCTAATAATATGTTGGTAATGCACCTCAAAAAATCAAGTATATAATTCCCAGACTCAGACTCATTATCTCATCTTCTGTACTTCGATTGAAGCATAAACAGCTATACAAGTTCACAACTTCTTCACCGTTCAACAAACAGTTTTCAAGTCAGCCGGTTGCTTCTCTTCAATATGCACCTTTCTCGCCCTCTTTTTTCTCTCTTTGCCATTTGCCATTCGGCCGTAAATGCTCTACCACAAATCCGAACCATTGAAACCACATTCACAACCATTATCACCGCCAAAGATGAGTCGATCACAAGACGCGTTACTTCAACTCCCATCTCACAATCATTATTGCACCGCAAAAATCGCTTTGAATCAGAGATATCAGTCGTCAACAGTGCCATCTTCGAAGACTGTACTCAAGTCGAAACATCTCAAGATGTTCAAGTCTTCAGTTGTGCTTCTGTCTTCGCATCATCATTACTTGAGGATCTCAGTCTGTTTTCCAAGCCAACAGCCACTACAATTTTCTCAACTGAGACCGTGATTCCGGTGCAAGCTACAGGTGTTCAGCGTCGCGAAGTTTTGACGCTTGGTGATGAGGTCTTCACAGTAGCAGGGCTAGTTTCGTCATTGAACTTGGGAGCTATTGAGCCATACACCGCGCCAACTCCAGACATTACTCTATTCAAACCGCATGCTCTAGTCTCTCCCGGCTCAATCGCTACCGAGACCAATGGTCAGCCCATTCAAGCAATAGCCCGCCGTGGTAGCGAAGACGAATCTGCTGTTGACATACCTACCTTTACTACTCTCTCACCGGTTCAGCCCCCAGTCTCCTCCCAAAACTCTCTTGCGACAATCACAGCACGCCAGGATATTGCGAATCTTACCCTCGCTGGTTGTGGTACTGCCCCTGGCGGTTTTATCACATGCGCTCAAACTACATTCAGCAACTGCGTTAGTTCAGCGGGTGAACAGACATGCAATGGGCAGATTCCTTTGCCTTCTTCCACTACTAGTGAAGTTCAATCGTTCCTCCGGGTTGTTCCGACCACCCTGCAAAGAGGAGGAGATATCATAACCACAAATCTGATCTCGGGCTTGTTTCGCACGACTCTTCAAGCTCGCGCATCTCTTGCGACTGAGGTTCCTAATGCTTCCCATGAGGACTTCAATAGTGATGATAAGTAGGTCTTAGCGACGAAGGTATTGAATGCTGTGGTGTAAGAGAGGAGAAAATGGATGATGAAAATACCATGATAAGATGGCATTCCGAAGATCATAGTAAATTCGTTCACAGAGAATTCTTACATAAGATTTCAGCAAGGAATGGGTTAGCATTTTGTTGTATTGTGTTGATTCACCTAGGATACTCAATGAATGCATTGCTTTTTCGTTTGTATTTGTGCACTTCGAATTATAGTATCCCAATTTCATTCCCTAGACTATTCTCAACTTCCATGCCGGGAGTTTTCAGAGTGAAATTAAACGCACGCCTTGCTACAAACCAGTCCTGCACCTTGGTTATATGACAATGTGGGATTTCACTAGGTTTCCATGGTGCAATTCTTACACTCCGCTCTGGAGCAAACCTTTGCGATATTTTCAAGCAGTACTTTTGTAACACTTCTACTGAACTAGGAGTACAAGTTCTTGAATCACAGCTGAATTTCCAATGTTTTTGATTCGTTGCACAGCAGTCCAAATTTACATATGTTTTTTGAGTCTGGTGGGAAGGTTTCTAAAATTGGTATCTCTTTTAACAACAGATTAATCGAATCGAATCAATGCTTTATTCCCCAACGTACAGAATCCAAAATTTTATACAAATCGCTATACTGTCGCCACCGTTCGCTATAAACAACCAGAAAATGCCTTCCGACCCCGGGATGTATCCACATGCATGCTCACATCAATCAATCAATTCCATTCCACATGATCATTTGCCATTATATCCCCTTCATTCTCCACAATTGATACTCCTGTTCCCTATCCTCATATCTCATCGCATATCATCATAATCCCAGAACCCCCATACAAATCATACCCATAACTCCCAACAATCCAAGACCAGCACCATCTCTTGCCCTAGCTCCCAGTCCAGCTCCCGAAGAACTCGTTGGAGCAACACTAGAAGCAGTGGGACTACTACTTGACCAAGCAACACTCGACAACGAAGATAGAGGGGTCGCAGTTCCTGGCAACAAAGTTTTCGAATTGGTTCCAATAGTGCCAGTCGCATTCCCATTACTTGTCTCTACCAGTAATGGTGCAGATGTAATAATTGTACTTTTAGCCGAACTCGTCTTTGATACGGCCGCACTAGAACTCGAAACTGACGCGCTACGGCTCGACGCAGTAGTCGCAACAACAGCATACGTGAGTAAAGCTGCAGACTCTGTAGCAATTGAAATTGCTCGGAATTGTGACGTGGCCGCAGCGCCAGTAATGGTTGTTGATGCAATTTTAGTAGTGCCGGGAATCAATTCAGTCGCCTGACATGCCATTGATGCGGACCCGGACAAAACGCAGCCTAGAGTCATTGTTCTAAAAGGCTTTATCAGTTATTTATTCCAGCGTATGAAGGCTATATAACATACGTGGAGCCAGAAAATTTCATTGCATATTGAACAGTGGAAGGTCCTTGAGTTAACGTGTATGGCTGTTGAAAGTTACATGTCGAGGGATTTGAACCTGCTGGGCATGCCATTAAATACGTTGTGGCAACATTTGGAGTCTTAAGATTCTATGTCAATAAAATTATACATCAAAAGCACTGGGAATAACATACTGAGCCAATCGCATATGCGACAACCGGATAATCACCCGCGAACAATGTTGTTGGAGATTGCGCTCCAACCCCTCGACTACCAACACAAAATACAAAAAAGATACACAAAAAATCAACTTGGTGAAACATCTTTCAAATCTACATCAATCATACAGCTACTTTCAGCTGCAGATCTTTGTCAACGTAACTTCAATTGAAATGTGATTTTCGTGCATAATGAGGGAAGGAGATAAAAAGAAGTTATACAAAAATGGGGAAGACATCTTTTGAGATAGATGTTGGTGTTTTGGGATTTAAGATTACAGGATTGAATGTATGGAAGGTAATAAGATCCTTCTGTGCCCATGGCGTTAATTATGTCCAAATATAGGGCTGCAGAAATGGGCGCTTACATAAATGAAACTTGGGGTTTGGTGGTAGGATGAAATGTATATAAGAGCTGTGATTGGTGAAAAGATGACCAACATAAGAAATTATTACATGAGGTAGGACAAGTCCCTACAATGACACTGTTGTGCCGCGCTTGTTTGTGGGATGGTAAGAAATCAAAGAATGACAATATTACGTTCATGGTACCTCATGACTTTGAGCTTCATGGATGACATGATCAGATAACCATAATGCAAGTGCCGTCGGCAGCTGAGGTCATAAGATTCATGAGTAAAGACTTGGCAAAATCAGTCCTTACAGTCGTGAATCGTGACATGCAACTCGTGAACCACTCAGTTCAGGAAAATGAATAATGAGAAATCGAAATTCTACCGGAGACGTCTAGCATGACGCTGTTCGCATGGCTGTCATGATCACCAAGTTGCCAATTGATGACGAGAGATCAATTATGAAAAGGAGTTCGAGTCCAGAACCATTGTAGGTACGGATGATGTACATTCCTGATTCCTTCCCTGCTGAGCAGATGTGGATTATTCATATAAGAAGATCTTATAGATTGATAAACTGGGTCACTAGCGCAGTAGATCTCGCCCAGAGTCATATCAGTCAATGCTGACTAAATGAGCGACGATTATTATACGGGTTTACACTAAAATTGATAGGAAAGCATTGCCGATAACTTAGTGCAATGAACTGGCCCGTCATTTTGATGTATCAAATTTGCATGGTAATGTTATGTGACGTAACATCTATATGTCTTTCGAACATACTGTAAAGTCTCGGTACTGACTCGCAATGTTGGGAAGGGCCTGGTAAAGTAGTTTATTTGAGTCAGCTGGCATCACTGGCAAATTTAGATGGCAATCATTAGATATCTCATTTCCCCCTTCATCTGAAAGAAGTATCATTGATAGCGGTGAAAATGTCCGTGTGAAAACCAGGCACGGATTCTTGGGATGGAAGTGTATCTTCATGCAAGAAGGAGGGCTATGCAGTAGGTTTTGTAAGACTCCCTTTAGAACTTCGCCCATAAATAAGATGGCAAATGTCCATCTGCACTAGAAATCCACAGATACCACTTGTCTCTTGGATGAGGACATTTCGGCATAAAGACTGCGGGTAAACTAATAAGTAGCTTCGAGGGAAAACTTATGCCTAAAGTTTTGACTTCGAACTACCATCAGTGAAAAGTTCCCGCGCTTGGACTACTGATCCCCAAACCCTTCTGGCACGTCCCAGTCCGTGAGCACTTACACTATAATTATGCTGAATTGCAATCCAATAGCTGGCACTTGCTAGCCTCTTCGGGTCAACAAAATCCATCTCGTGCAAACCAAGTTAGGAACTGATCAATGTCAAGCTTGATCGTCATACACAAGCTCTAAGTTGACAGGGCAGTTCAAAACACGAAAACCTTCAGCAACATTTTGCTTGAAGGGATATCCCAAGTTCAGTTTTATTGGAAGAACTAATAGTGAGAGTGCTTAGAAGTCTGTGTCCACATTTGACAGATTTTTAGAACTGTTCACTAGTATTGTGTTGCCCAAAGACTATACCAGACCTAGTGGCTGGAGAAATACATGATATTTACCAAAATTGTTTGTATTGAGTTGAAGGAAGATCAGATAAGTGATTCTTCTTAACAAAACGTTCGTCAGAATATAATATGCGTGTTGGCGGCCAGATCATCGAAAAGTATTGTTATAGTGGAGTGAGCGATTGCTTGCAGAAAGTCCCACACCGCCGGTACCAACCGTTTCCGATTATCCAGCAGTAGTGGAAAGTGTTAGACCAGGGATGGTTGACATGAGGGTCTTGACAAATATCCACTTCTTCCCGTTCTCGACTTGTTTCTTCAAATCTCAATCTTTACTGGTATCAAAGGGGTGGGCTTTGCTACTAGTATTGCACATTTCCGTGAGCTTCATCCTAGCTTTTATCATCAGCCAAACTTTGTGAGCAGGTCGATTCAATCTATCGGTCCCATCTTGAAACTCCCCACTACCCTCACTTATTGTGATCCCTACCACCAAGCAGACTGCACACCCTTCAAGTCCACTCGGGATATATGCCGACGATTGAAATATTCGTGATCTCCAAATTGAGTTTTCCTCGGCAAGCTGTCTCCTTCATGCATTACTACAGCGGTCAACATTGTTTGTTGAAGCTTCAAGCATTGTGGCTGTATACTTTACATACCTACCAAGTATTCGGAGAAATGGCAACCAATCATGTGTTGCCAAACTGAAAATTTTCCCATCTAAGACTTCCTCTGTCATATATTCTAAACCTCACCGACCTCAAGATATCCAGTAAGAGTATTGTGTGGGGCAATACTGCCTCGGGAGCGACAATAAGTCTCCACGAGGCTCCCACACGACACTGCTGATCTGAACACTATACCTTTCGGCAGATCAGATCCACCTTCATATCCGCGCTAAGGCTGTCTAGACACCTCTCGTTCCTGAAGACGAATGGTGGCTTTATTCACGCTTGTTGTATCTTCTATCTGATGTGTGGTGGATTAAGTTCCCTATTCGCAAAAGAAACCAGCACCGATTTAGACTGGTGGTAGATTTAAAGTGTAAATCGATTGGTCTAATGTCGTCGGGAACTTGCTGAGACCGATGCCATGATATTCCCAAGTCCGATGATCCTCAGTCTCATACTGAATGTCGTTTTAGTAATCTCATGATAGCATCAAAAGAGGCATCGGGGATTTATGCATGATTCGACGTTGATTTGGTTCAATTATTAGTGTTCCCCTCTGCTGCAATTTCATTTTGAAACTACCATATCGAATTGCCATTTCTCTTCGTATTCCTAATTCAGAATTCAATAGCCGACTTTGAATCTATATCTCTGCAAATTTTACATAATATGTCACCCACCCAAAGAAGATCACCACCTAATGACCCCGGCAGTCTTATGGGATTTCATTTTCCCTTGAAGATCTGGAGAGAGATTGGCGGCCGTGAATTATACCTAGCACGGAATCAGCCACTTACTC